GTATGAATGACCACAGGACTTCACTTCAGCACCTAAATGGACATGCGGTTGACACGTCACACAAGGACAATGATAACACCATGCAGCCACAACAACTTCTGCTCACGGACACAATCTCAGCTGAGCCCTGCCCACAGCGCTCACCACAGACAGACTGTGACATACTAGAACTGCTCCAAGATTCAGCACCCAAGGACGACTTTCTGGAAAACAGCCAGGGAAACCAGGACAGCATATTACAGCCGATAACACCAGAGCAACAGCCCGTCTCACCAGACACATTTTCTCTATCTCCAGCATCTCCACTTCTGTGCTTCTCAGAGAAAATGGAAGAACTGGTGTTTGCTGGAACCAAACTATCCCACTCTTTTGCTGCAAGCCCCCAGATGTCAACCAAAAAGCGGCAGGCCCCACAACCACCAAAGCCTGCAGGCCCAGCTCGCCCTCCCCCTCCTCCTGTGAGAGCTCTTCGGCCTCTGCCACAGCGCCAGGGCTCACACCCTCCTCCATCGGCCCGAGGTCAACCAAAAACAACTGATACCAGCTCTCAGTGATATGTGTCGGGTCTCCGCTATGACAACAGTAACTTTCTTAAATGTTTACATAACAAGCGGGAACCCAGTGTGCCTGTATCTTTCTCTATTGCTGTTCGATTACATGATAGAAGGTCTAAGGCCTTCAAAAGCCGTACAGCAAACCCATCTAATCTGGTACCTATTACACGCCAAACTAAGACTGCTGTGGGGACAAAAAGTAAGACTGTTAAGTTAGCACTTTTAAACATCCGCTCACTTAAAAATAAATCACTTCTAGTCAATGACTTAATAACCACATACAACCTGGATTTTATGCTTCTAAATGAAACCTGGCTAGAAGACAGCTGCAGTGCAACAGTCCTCAATGAAACAGCCCCTCCTAACTTTACTTTTATGAGTGTCTGCAGAGCTGTAAGGAGAGGTGGAGGAGTAGCTGCTCTTTTTAAGGATGTCTATCAATGTAAGCAAACATCATTTGGTAACTACCCGTCTTTTGAATATCTCGGTATTGTTTTAAAAGGTGCCCCACGCATTTTACTTATCATTATTTACAGGCCTCCAAAATACTCTCCAGCCTTTGCTGAGGACTTTACAGAACTGTTATCAACAATTTCCTCAGAGTTCGACTGTTTTGCTATTGCTGGAGATTTTAACATTCACATAGATAATGATACAAATATGGCAAAAGAAATCAAAACTGTTTTAAAAACTTTTGACCTGATTCAGCATGTACACGGACCGACACACACTCGTGGACACACTCTAGATTTACTTATCAGTAAGGGTCTAAACATTTCATCGATTGTTATTAAGGATGTAGCACTGTCTGATCATTTCTGTATTTTCTTTGATATATTGATCTCTCCTGCCATTGAAGCTAGATCTGTGTCTGTCAAGAAGAGATGCTTAAGAGAACACTAGTGTACTATTTATGAAGGCTATATCTTCAACACCAAGCATATCTGCTGACTCTGTTGATTTTCTCCTTGATTGTTTTAACTCAAAAGTTAAAAGTGTAATTGATGATATTGCTCCTGTGAAAGTCAGGAAGAGTGGTAGACAAAAAGCACCTTGGAGAAACTCAACAGCTGTGCAAAATATGAAAAGACAATGCAGAAAAACAGAGCGCATGTGGCGGAAGACAAAACTTGTAGTCCATTATAACATCTACAAAGACACCATCCATGCTTTTAATATGGAACTAGGCAAAGCTAGACAGACTTTCTTCTCAAATATTATAAACAGCAACTTAAACAACACACGCACTCTTTTTGCTACTGTAGAAAGACTGACAAACCCCCCAAGCCAGATTCCCAGTGAAATGCTTTCAGACAGAAAGTGCAGGGAGTTTGCTTTTTTCTTCTCTGAGAAAATCAATAATATCAGAAAGGTGATCAGCACATCATTGAGCCGCACTGGGGTCAGACAGATCAGACCACAACCGCAGAAAGTAGTTACTATGTCTGATTTTGAAGAAATTGATGGCAAAATTTTAGAAGAAACCGTACAGCACCTTAAAACATCAACCTGCGCCCTTGACGCACTTCCCACATCTTTCTTCAAAAGTGTGTTAAACTGTTTAGAAGCAGATCTCCTAGAAGTGGTAAATGCCTCACTTCTCTCTGGGAATTTTCCAAACTCCCTGAAAACTGCAGTTGTCAAGCCCCTCCTGAAAAAGATCAATCTGGATAAGACCATATTAAGCAACTATAGACCGATCTCAAATCTTCCTTTCATAGGGAAGATCATTGAAAAAGTTGTCTTCAATCAGGTGAACAAATTCTTAAGCTTGAATGGATACTTTGACAATTTTCAATCTGGTTTCAGATCGCATCACAGCACAGAGACAGCGCTCATAAAGATAATAAATGATATTCGCTTAAATACTGATACAGGCAAATTATCAGTGCTGGTACTACTCGACCTCAGTGCTGCATTTGACACTGTCGATCACGACATACTTCTTGACAGGCTGGAAAATTGGGTGGGGCTTTCTGGGATAGTCCTAAAATGGTTCAGGTCATACTTAGAAGGGAGAGGTTATTATGTGAGTATAGGAGACCATAAGTCTGAGTGGACATCCATGACATGTGGAGTCCCTCAAGGCTCAATTCTTGCACCACTCCTGTTCAACCTGTATATGCTCCCAATGAGCCAAATAATGAGAAAGAACAAAATCTCTTACCACAGCTATGCAGACGACACACAGCTCTACTTATCCCTATCGCCTAACGATTACAGCCCCATTGACTCCCTGTGCCAATGCATTGATGAAGTAAACAGTTGGATGTGCCAAAACTTTCTTCAGTTAAACAAAGACAAAACTGAAGTCATTGCGTTTGGAAACAAAGATGAAGTTCTCAAGGTGAATGCATACCTTGACGCTAGGGGTCTAACAACTAAAAATCAAGTCAGGAATCTTGGTGTGTCTCTAGAGTCAGACCTTAGTTTCAGTAGTCATGTCAAATCAATAACTAAATCAGCATACTATCATCTGAAAAATATTGCAAGAATTAGATGCTTTGTTTCCAGTCAAGACTTAGAGAAACTTGTGCATGCTTTTATCACCAGCAGGGTGGATTACTGTAATGGACTCCTCACTGGCCTTCCTAAAAAGACCATAAGACAGTTGCAGCTCATACAGAACGCTGCTGCCAGGCTTCTGAGCAGAACCAGAAAATATGAACACATCACACCAGTCCTCAGGTCTTTACACTGGCTCCCAGTTACATTTAGGATTGATTTTAAAGTATTATTACTGGTATATAAATCATTTAATGGCCTAGGACCTAAATACATTGCAGATATGCTCACTGAATATAAACCCAACAGATCACTCAGATCATTAGGATCACATCAGCTAGAAATACCAAGGGTTCACTCTAAGCAAGGAGAGTCTGCTTTTAGCTACTATGCCAGCCGCAGCTGGAACCAGCTTCCAGAGGAGATCAGATGTGCTCCTACAGTAGTCACTTTCAAATCCAGACTCAAAACACATCTGTTTAGCTATGCATTTACTGAATGAGCACTTTGCCACTGTGTCCGACTGTTTGTACTGTATTTTATTTAATTTTTTAATTCTAAACTGTTTTAATTATTCTTATTTCTTTTGATTATTTTAATCTCTTTATTCTTAACTGTTTTAATTATTCCTATTTCTTTAGATTTTTCTATGTAAAGCACCTTGAATTACCATTGTGTATGAAATGTGCTATATAAATAAACTTGCCTTGCCTTGCCTTGCCTACTACTGATATATTTTGAGAATTATACTCCTGCATATATATTTTGCTCGTAAGACTTGTAAATTTGTTTACGGTCACAATTGTGACCGGTAGTATAACACAGTGCTTCAATTGAAAACAGAGGTATTGGCTGGTATTGGCAGGTTTTGGCAATCCTACACTGAATGGATGGATGTGAGGGGGATGGATGATCTTGGCAAAAGAGAAGTGCTCACTAACACAGATTTAGACAGATTTGTGAAGAATATTTGAGAGAAATAGGCCTTTTGTGTACATAGAAAAGGTCTTAGATCTTTGAGTTCAGCTCATGAAAAATGGGGGCAAAAACAAAAGTATTGCGTTTATAATTTTGTTCAGTGTAGTGATGAGTGTCCCAGAAACGGTCAATGTGCTGGACCTTCTTGACGTACGTGACCCCCTTCCCCCCCCACCCCCACCCCAAATTGAAAGTGACTGTGATAGTGATGGCTCAGATAGGGAGTACCAGGGTGAAACAGCCCATTTGCCAAGTAGACTATTGAATGGCGACGCAGAGGTGAATTATCTGGAGGATTGGGCAGATGTTCATGAGAACCAAATGGTGTGCCCCACACATGACCACAAACAACCCTTTCTACAACGTACGGCCCATCTTCAGTGCACTGAATGAGTGAACACACATCTTCCTGAAATTGGCCTAGGACAGGGCCCAAGTGTAGTCATGGTCTAGCCCATACGGGTCTAGCCGAACAAGCAGAAGTTCCTCCAGGGTGTAACTTTGTACATGACAACCTTTTCACCTCACTAAGCCTTCTTCACGAAATGACAAAACGAGATATTGGATGTCTTGGAATGAATTGTGTCAATAGGTCTAATTGAAGAATTTGAATGAATTCTGACTATGTTGTTTCCCACCGGTCACTATTGTGACCGAGTATAAAACCTAATATTTCACTAACTTAACCAACATAAAATCAAAAAAGGCATAATGTTTGAGTGTTAGGGAGGTCTAAGGAGTAAAATGCATGTACTCAAGTTGCAAGAAAAAATTTGGGATTAAACGGGTTAAGTGTCCGTAAAAGACGTCTCAGAAACGAAATGTTGCTGATATTTTATAGGAAAGGTTAACTGACGCAAATGCGCGTCACGATGACCAATAAATAACAATATTGTAGCGTGTGCGCGCATCTGATCAAAATGTGGAGCGCGTTTGTCTGCGCACGCGCGCTGCTTCAGACTTCGGACACTCGCTCGCGGGCGTCTCGTGTAGTAATAGCGTGCACGCGCATGTCGTTACCATGACAGCATAGTTAGTAAACTCCCATGTTGCCATCGGTTATTATCAGCAGAAGAAACACTGAATCCGCAGTGCAGGAGAATGTTCAGAACTCGCGCATCTGTGACGCGTCGCGTCGGGGACGAGCGTTTCTAGGAGAAGCAGAAGCTCCAGCGGATCTGGGATCCGTCAGGACACGCGTGGATTTATCCTGAAGATCCATGGGAACATTCGGCTCTGCTGTGGTGTGCCTGGAAGAGGATGAGGAAGAGGAAGAGGAGAAGAGAAGAGAAGTTGAGCGTCTTCCTCCACTGCTCGAGGACGAGGTGAGATTGATGATTGACAGGTGGTTGATTGACAGTCTCCTGGTGATTAATACTGTTATTATAACCATGGTTCTTTTTTTAACTTTGTACATGTAGCATGCAAATATCATGGCATATGAATATAATAGTCTGTATGTGTTATTATATTTCCATCGGACCATCACTATCTAACATTAGCTGTAAGTTGGTGGTGGGGTAAAAACATGATGCATTATTTATTTGGAATGTATTCTTTATGGAGAAATAATAGGAACAAACATAAAGGAACTGAGGAACTAACATAACGCATTTATGCAGAGATTCACTGAAGAGGTGAAGATCATCTTATGAACACACACACACACACACACACACACACACACATTCGTTTGATGTTCAGAGTTTGTTCAGTGCTTTTGTCGTGTTGAGCTCGAGACTGTTTTTTGTAAGGAGTGTTGTGAACTTCCGGAGGTTCAGGGACAAGCGTATCTGGGGCAGAGAGAGAGAGTGTGTGTGTGTGTGTGTGTGTGTGTGAGAGAGAGAGAGAGAGAGAGAGAGAGAGAGAGAGAGAGAGAGAGAGAGAGAGAGAGAGAGAGAGAGAGAGAGAGAGAGAGAGAGAGAGAGAGAGAGAGAGAGAGAGAGAGTAAGAGTGTGAGTGTGAGTATGTGTGTTTGAGAGAGAGAGAGAAAGAGAGAGAGTGTGTGTGTGTGTGTGTGTGAGTGAATGTGAGAGTGTGTGTGTGATTGAGAGTAAGAGTAAGAGTAACAGTGTGAGTATATGTGTTTGAGAGAGAGCGAGTGTGTGTGTGTGTGTGTGTGTGTGTGTGTGCGTGAGTGAGTGCATGTGTGTGAATGTGAGTGTGTGTGTGTGTGTGTGTGTGTGTGTGATTGAGAGTGAGAATAAGAGTAAGTGTGTGTTTGAGAGACAGAGAGTGTGTGTGTGTGTGTGTGTGTGTGAGTGAGAGTCAGAGTAAGATTGTGAGTGTGAGTGTGTGTGTTTTAGAGAGAGAGAGTGTGTGTGTGTGTGTGTGTGTGTGTGTGAGTGTGAGTGTGTGTGAGTTTGTGAGAGTGAGAGAGAGAGAGAGATTGTGTGTGTGTGTGTGTGTGTGTGTGTGTGAGTGAGAGTAAGAGTGTGAGTGTGTGTGTTTTAGAGAGAGAGAGAGTGTGTGTGTGTGTGTGTGTGTGTGTGTGTGTGAGAGTAAGAGTGTGAGTGTGTGTGTGTTTGTGAGAGTGAGAGAGAGAGAGATTGTGTGTGTGTGTGTGTGTGTGAGAGAGTAAGAGTGTGAGTGTGTGTGTTTTAGAGAGAGAGTGTGTGTGAGTGAGAGTAAGAGTGTGTGTGTGTGTGTGTGTGTGTGTGTGTGTGTGTGTGTGTGTGTGTGTGTGTGTGTGTGTGTGTGTGTGTGTGTGTACTGTAGGGAGTTTGAGAAGTCTGTGTCTCTGCTGTTCTCTGGACAGAGAGTCTATAACGGTCTCGGCTCGTACGGCTGCACCGACTCTATAAATTCAGCTCTAGTTTTATTCTTTATTGATGAATGAACATGTTTTTCTCGGAGAGTAGTTACTCTGTTCGTCATGTGGTGTGTTGTTTTACCAGTGTCATACATTAGCTCTGTCCCATCACATGACAACATCAAAAATACAAAAGCAAAAAGCAGCTAAAACAATGCAAACGAATAATTTATTTATATCGCAGTCCAAGCTGGGAACTATAAACTGCAGCATAAAAGTGTGGGCGTCACATTATTATTATTACAGTTAACCCGTATGGTGTGATCTTCTGTGCCACTGTAATGTAAATACAGCATCACAAAAGCAATGATAAAGACTCTTCTGACAGGGTTTAAAGGCATCTATATTATTACCTGTATAACGACCCAATTACTGGGAATTTATTATTTATTTAATATTTGAAAAATAATATTACTTAATTTATATTTTCTTGATAAATATATTATTTATTTATTTTTTATCTGTTTGTTTGTTTATTTTAAATATAGTTTTTGATTATTTATTTATTTTTATCTTATTTTTTTATTTATATATTTGTAAAACAAATCTGTAAAAACTTTTTCTGTAAGCATTTCCTCAAAAAATATTACTTAATTTATATTTTCTTAATAAATATATTATTTATTTATTTATTTGTATCTGTTTATTTGTTTATTTTAAATATATTTTTTTATTATTTATTAATTTATTTATTTTAATCTTATTTTTTATTTAAAACTTTTTCTGTAAGCATTTCCACAAACCCCAGTTTGAAAACTCCTGTCTTGGGAACTACAAAGTTTAATGGAAAATCCAAATGTGTCTTTTCCAGTTAAACACGGTCCTGATATTAAAAGAAGCACAAAAGACGATTATTAAACCTTCTGAAGGCTCTTTCCAGTCTGACATCATCACTGAGACGGGCTTGTTTTTGACTCGGAGTTTTTTTGTTGAATCCGATCTGGTCTGAGCCAACAGATTTCATTACTCAGAGATTAACTGCGACTCTTGTAGAAAGTCCCTTAACACTCTCCCATCTGCCGACAGCATGCCTCGGTTATATAGCCATGTTTGATTATTTCCTTATGAAGGATAGAACACACACACACACACACAAAAAATAGTTTGTATGGAGTTTTGTTTTGCAAAACACATTAGCAACTGCATAACAATGTCCTAACATCATATCAGTTATAGGCAAACACCCCTTTAGACTTGCTTCTAACTCAAATAGAGATGAAAACACTATAAATAGCTGTCAATCACACATAACACACACATTCCCCATGAATGCATTTAGGAAACTGAGCACAATGATGTACAGACTCTTGTGACATCATAGCAGAACTTGTGACAATCTGTCTTTTGTAATCTGTGGAATATTCCATTGGAATGAATGGGTCGCTATGGAGATTTCTGAGTTTTGTACTCTATGTGTGTATTTACACTACCGGTCAAAAGTTTTGGAATAATAATTAAAATAAAAAAAATCTTAATTTTTTTTTATTGTAAAGAAGTCTCTTGCGCTCACCAAGGCTACATTTATTTGATAAAAAAAATACAGTAAAATATTATTTTAATTTAAAATAACTGTTTTCTATATCAATATATTTTAATATGTAATTCATTCCTGTGAATTTATTCCCCAAAAAATAATAATCATAAATGTTTCTTGAGCATCACATCATCATATAAGAGTGATTTCTGAAGGATCATGTCAAGTCAAGTCAAGTCACATTTATTTATATAGCGCTTTTCACAATACAGATTGCATCAAAGCAGCTTCACAGTGATAACATGAAAGTAGTACAACACAGTTCAATAATATTGTTGAATATTAAATATCCCCAACTAAGCAAGCCAAAAGCAAGGCGACAGTGGCAAGGAACCAAAACTCCATCAGATTGGATGGAGAAAAAAACCTTGGGAGAACCCAGGCTAGTCAGGGGCCAGTTCTCCTCTGGCTAACAATCATAGGGTTTCAAAGAAGCTTTACAGTAAGTGCATATCAGTGCATATCATGTGACACTGAAGACTGGAGTAATGATGCTGAAAATTCAGCTTTGATCACAGGAATAAATTACACTTTATTGTATATTCACATATTTACATTGTAATAATATTTTAATTTTTTTACTGCATTCTGATAAAATATTTTTACTGTATTTTCTTTAAAAAACATTAAAATACCTTAATTATTCCACACTTTTAGCAGTGTGTGTGAGTGTGTTTATGTATTTGTGTGCATGTGTGTTTGACTTTTACTGTTATGCTGGTAATATAATTTGTAATGATGCATTGTGTGTTAAACTAGAAAGTCGTCGTAACCCCATTGCACTGCACGTGTCTCTATATCATGCATGCATGTGATCAATCACTCAATATTTCCTCAGGAGAATGTTTCTCTGGCTGATATTTTGTGTCTGAGGGACAGCGGGCTGTCGGAGCAGGAGCTGTGGGCGGTGTGTGTGGAGTGTGTGTGTTCTCTACAGAGCATCGCTCTCTCTCCGCTCTTCCACACACTCTGCGTAACGCCCGACACACTGGCCTTCAACGCTCATGGAAACGTGTGTTTCATGGATCAGCTCGGCGGTGAGTCATCAGCTTCGTGACTCAAACACACTCACAGCGTTTGCCTGGATTATTGAAAATATTGCTTTTGATGCACATCTCTACAAATGGAGGGTTTTGACAGATGTGTCTTCATAAAGAAACTATAGATAACCATATAATTTACTGTAAAAAACAGTAAAAAAGTGTAAAAAATTTAACTGTAATTTTACTGTAAACAAATACTGTTAAATGTATGGTTTTGGCACGTAAAAACTATGAATTACCATAATATTTACTGAAAAACAGTAAGGGGACTTTCTCTGTGAACAAATACCGTTCATCGCTAGTTAATGTTTGTAGCGGCAAAAACATTGTTGGGTTTTTCCTGTAACCCCCTGTTAATGTTTCCAACCACCTGGAGAATGCGAGTACTGGGTCAGACTCACAGCCCGAATCCAAGAAAATCCAAGAGTGTTGTTGCTTGAATGATTGTGGATATTTATTGCAAATAAATATAAAGTACAAAACAAAAACTGAGAACTGGTTTAAATGTCTTTAAGCATTCCTTTGTTGCGCTTGGCATTCAGCTTTCTCACACAGGCCAAGCTTCAGTAGCGCAGATCCAGGCCGAGGTCAAAGACTATATCAGCTGGCACGCCTTCTCCTTCTCTCATGCGCTACCCACTCCAACTTATAGGATAGCGCCCTCTCTGGCTGTAGAAGGTGTACCACTCAAATGCAATAGAAAAAACAATTATAAGTAAATTATGAAACCAAAAATAAAACTCAAATGCGGCTCCTACAATGTTAATTAATGCCTTAACTAATTATTGGGAAAGTTAACTGTAATTTTACTGTAAAATACTGTTATATGTATGGTTTTGGCAAGTCAAGTCATCCTCATTTATATAGCGCTTTTAACAATGTAGTGGATTGGACCAAACTATGGATAACCATATACTTTACTGTAAAAAAACAAACAGTATAATTACTTTCCCTGTGAACAAATGTACTGCTCATTGCTAGTTAATGTTAATTAATGCCTTAACTAGTTATTGGGAAAGTTAGGCTAACTGTAATTTTACTGTAAAATACTGTTATATGTATGGTTTTGGGAAGTAAAAACTATGGATAACCATATAATTTACTGTAAAAAACAGTAAAATTACTTTCCCTGTGAACAAATGTACTGCTCATTGCTAGTTAATATTAATTAGTGCCTTAACTGATTATTGGCACCTTAGTGTAAAAAGTTAACTAATTTTACTGTAAAAACAAATACTGTCAAATGTATGGTTTTGGCAAGTAAAAACTATAAATTACCATATAATTTACTGTGGAAAAACAGTAAAAGGACTTTCTCTGTGAACAAAAACTCCTCATTGCTAGTTAATGTTAATTCATTTCTTAACTAATTATTGGGAAAGTTAACTGTAATTTTACTGTAAAATACTGTTATACATTATGTATGGTTTTGGCAAGTAAAAACTATGGATTACCACATGATTTACTGTAAAAAAAAACAGTAAATCACACTTTATATGAATAAAAAAGGTTTACAGTGCAAATACTGCTGTTGCATACTGTGCATAAAAAAATAAAAAATTACAGTGACATAAGCTATGAAAAAATCATGTTCCTCTGCCTTTTTCAGGTTAAATAATGTTTATAGATGGGTAAGGTTACAAATTATTTATTAAGTAAAAAGACTGTTTGCTAACAGTTAAATGACAATTAACTAAATATTAAATAACTAACAATTTACCATCTATTAATGATTGTTATTATAAAGTGTTACAGAAAACTTAAAGATATGTTAGCATTTCCATATTTTGATATTAGAAGGGAAGGGATGCTGCTTTCACTACCAAAGCTTAAAAACATCCCAAGCTAATGTTTGATGCACGGAATTTATTGTGTGGTTTTCCTAACCCCCATTGGTAAATAGATTATCACGGTGGAATAGTTATGCTATGCCACTTTCATCAAAACCTATTAGCTATAGCAATGTCATGTCATTAAATACGATAAACAGTGATTCTGGAACTCCTAAAACCGTTAAAAAACATATTACAGTATGTAACGTTAACCATATTCCGTCCGTTCGAAAAAAAATTTGCACTAACTGTTCGTTACAAGCAGCATTTGCCGTCAGGCAGGTAGCTAACATAAACATATTTTTGCTAGCCTAATGTTACCTTCTGCAAAATTACACCATTTGTACAAGACAAGTAGAGCTATTTTTATGCAGTGTAATTTATTACTTTACCACTATCTGGTATTTTTCTTAACCTTCTCTTCTTTCTTTTCTGGCTTCCTGAAGCATAATTCCGCTTCATGATAACTCCCGAGGAGGTTTGTATTTTGCCGGCAGCAGAGATCGCGTGGTTGGCTGGCTGCTGTCAGCGACTACTGAGGGGGCCCCTTGAGGGGGATTCCGATAACAGTGTCATTGCACTTTACTGCATTGACTATCAAAGGGGCGCTCACAGTTTGTCGTTGCATTTTATTCTTAAACAGTCGTTGTCTTGGGGCCCCAGTCCAGCTCGGGGCCCCAAGCAATTGCTTGGTTTGCCTGTCCTGTTCCGACGCATAGACTGTAAAAAAAGATGGACGACGCCCCTTCGCTCTTTTCCATTGGAGAGAACTGAAGCCGCCAGTGTCCCGATATGGCGCTGACATATTGGAACTTGAGTCTGCGCAGTAGCGTTTTCGGGACCAGTCATGCGCAGTCGTGAGCAGGAAGTAAAGCTGCGAAATCAAGGCCCCGCCCTCACTCTCGTTGAATCAATCGTAAGCACACGCCCTGCACTTTTCTTAAGTGGCCTTGTCTGCTCCGTTCCTCGCCAATGATGTCTGCTGATTGCAGTACCTCATTAAAATAAGGTAAATACAACTACTAACCACATAGTCAACATTATGAAAAAAAGTCCGTTAGTACTTCAGTGACTACTTCGCACAGAGAAGCTGTCAATCAGAGCTGTCAATCATGATGTCACAGCACCGTTTTTATAGCATCAAATAACTAACTAAAAACTAACTTATTTTAAAAACAAACACTTGAAATTACATCAACGTGATAGAAACTACAGTAAATGACAGAAATTATCCTTAGAAAAAAGATATGTGAAGTGTAATTTAATTATTTAGTTGGTCACACGTCCCGTTGAATAACATGGGGAGGCGGGGTTTATGACCTATACTAGGACCGGTCACTGGGGGGCGATCGAGATGTTTTGGCTTCACTTTTGAGGGCTTGTGCGGCACGCTTGTTCCGACGGGCCTGTGGTTTTGGCAAGTAAAAACTATGAATTACCATAGTTAATTAATGCCTTAACTAATTATTGGAAAAGTTAACTGTAATTTTACTGTAAAATACTGTTATATGATTTTGGCAGGTAAAAACTATGGATAACCATATCATTTACTGTGAAAAACAGTAAAATGACTTTCCCTGTGAACAAATATACTGTTAATTGCTAGTTAATGTTAATTAACGTCTTAACTAATTATTGGAAACTTATTCTACAAATGGATGGCTTTGACAGACGTGTCTTCATAAAGCTTGATTTTATTAATGTGCATCTCACATGTGTTGGTGTGTTTCAGTGATTGTGCTGTCGGATAATGGGGGCATTAATTTGCATAATTATTAACAGATATGACACCCTCCCACGAGTGTGCAATTTATGCCGTAAAGCATTATTAATGTGCATTTTGTGACAGTCTAAAACCTCTGAGATAAACATTTGGAAATTAACTCAAGAGAGTCAGGATCATGTTAAGATAAAACTGGTAAAGAGTAAAAAAAAAAATACTCAAAATGCTACAGTAAAAATGCTGTTAAACTGTTACTTTAACATAATTGTAAATGGTTTAACATTATATGTAATGTGGTAACACTTTACAATATGGTTCCATTTGTTAACATTATTTAAATACATTAGTTAACATGAACTGACTATAAAAATTCTTCCACAGCATTTATTATTCTAGTTCATGTTAATTTGATAATACATTCTTATTAATACACCTGAGCTAACATGAACCAACAATGAACGGTTGTATTTTTTAACTAACTAAAACTTTGCTTAACTAAGATTCATAAATACTGTAACAACGTATAGCTCATTGATAGTTATTGCATTAACTAATGGGAGCTTATTGTAAAGTGATACCTGTAATTTTACTGTAAAAATACTCTCAAATGTATGGTTTTGGCTAGTTAAAACTATAAATGACCATATAATTTACTTTAAAAAACAGTAAAAGGACTTTCCCTGCAAACAAATGTACTGCTAGTTAACGTTAATTAATGCCTTAACTAATTATTGGGACCTTAGTGTAAAAAGTTAAATGTAATTTTACTGTAAAATACTGTGAAATTAAGTTTTTGCAAGTAAAAACGTTGAATTACCATACAATTTACTGTGAAAAACAGTAAAAGGACTTTCCCTGCGAACAAATGTACTGCTAGTTAATGTTAATAGTGCCTTAACTAATTATTGGGACCTTAGTGTAAAAAGTTTAATGTAATTTTACTGTAAAATACTGTGAAATTTATAGTTTTTGCTAGTAAAAACTATGAATTATCATATAATTTACTGTAAAAAATAGTAAAAGGACTTTCCCTGCAAACAAATTTACTGCTAGCCTAGTTAATGTTAATTAATGCCGTAACTACTTATTGGGACCTTAGTGTAAAAAGTTAAATGTAATTTTACTGTAAAATACTGTGAAATTTATAGTTTTTGCAAGTAAACATGATGAATTACCATATAATTTACTGTGAAAAACAGTAAAATGACTTTCCCTGCAAACAAATGTTCTGCTAGTTAACGTTAATTAATACCTTAATTAATTATTTGGACCTTAGTGTAAAAAGTTAAATGTAATTTTACTGTAAAATACTGTGAAATTTATAGTTTTTGCAAGTAAAAATGATGAATTACTATATAATTTACAGTGAAAAACAGTAAAAGGACTTTCCCTGCGAACAAATGTACTGCTAGTTAATGTTAATTAATGCCGTAACTAATTATTGGGACCTTAGTGTAAAAAGTTAAATGTAATTGTACTGTAAAAATACAGTTAAATGTATGTTTTTTGCAAGTAAAAACTATGAATTACCAACTGTGAAAAACAGTCAATTCCCTGTGTGACAAACACATGATTATATTTTATATGGTTTGTTTCTTCTTGTTTTGTTATCAGATTAGGGTGTTTCGTGTCACAACTTGTAAAGTACAGTAGTCAACATTTGAAGTGGATCAAAAAAGTGAATCAAAGTTGTCCAGGTATTGTTCAAAATTCATGTATAACTTTGACGAAAGGTTTTGATCCATTTTAAATGTTGACGACTGTACAAATGAAGGTACAAATGAGAACTGCATACAAACTAGCAATGGTTTTGTCCCCTAGTCCCGTTGGCAGCCTGAAGGTCATACACTGAAGGTCATTCTCAAAGGCCACAGCGTATACTTTCTAAATATACCGGTGAGTTCCTCTGCCCGAGTGTTTTCTGGAGGATCTGAGATACTGTGGAGGAGAAAGCCTGACCTATTTAACAGATCCAAGTGTCTGGAGGAGAGCGTCTCTTCTCAACGTGTCCTAGTTAGACAGCGAGAGTTAGAGAAGCTCCTCTGAGGACTTACACACTTATTCACAGAGAGAAACACACTCTCTCTGATTGATGAAGGGAATATAATTACACATCACAGTTGGAGCTTTTTATACCGTGGGTGTTTGTCACAGTTCTGCGCATTTCGACCCGTAGTTAATATGGTTTTATTGGTTAAGTGATCTATAACTATTATTAGCGCTCCTAAAATCAGAGGAAACACCTAATGCTAAATGTTGAAGGTGTGTGCGTCGTCATGCGGCGTTTCTGAATGTAAAAGGTCTGGAAAGTGCAGATAAATAGAGCTATTGTGTCCTAAAAGAAAGAAGTGATTCTAAACTTCAGTAACGAGTCGTCTAATTCACTGTAAAAAGTGATCAGGTGACTTAAATGAAATTTTTTTGCCTTAAAGGGTCACATGTTGCCTTAAAATTATTAAGTAAATAAACGTCATGCTTAATCAAAAAAATTAAGTAATGTGGAATTGTCAAGTTCACATAACTTAATTTATTCAATTAAGCATTACGTTTATTTACTTAATAATTTTAAGGCAACGGGTTTACTCAATGTTTTTAAGTAAGTGAACTGAACCCTTTTTACACTCTTCCAGTCTCACTTCCTACACGAACCTACATAGGTTTGTAACTAATTTGCATAATGCCAGCCCATTGGCTGCCTGCTTTGTCCCGCCCTCAAACACTGTAGTTTACCTGAGACTGGTTTGTAACTAATTTGCATAATGCCACCCCATTGGCTGCCTGCTTTGCCCCGCCCTCAAACACTGTAGTTTACCTGAGACTGGTTTGTAACTAATTTGCATAATACCAGCCCATTGGCTGTCTGCTTTGCCCCGCCCTCAAACACTGTAGTTTATCTGAGACTGGTTTGTAACTAATTTGCATAATGCCAGCCCATTGGCTGCCTGCTTTGCCCCGCCCTCAAACACTGAGACTGGAAGAGTTCGGCTCGTGTTGTTCGTGTCGAGAAAACGCTGTTTTCTGCTGACAAAGCAAATCCACTTTGATGAGATCGATACGGTAAAACCCACGCCACCGTTACTGTTCGTACCACTGCGATCAAGAGCTGAGATTCAGATATGATAATGAGCGTCGACCAATCAGAGCAGAGCAGCTCTCAGAGAGGCGGAGCTTAGAGAGACTGAATCTACAAACGAAGCGTTTCAGACTCTGAGAGAAAAGAGCTGACGCTGCCGTGGAGATTATGAGGAAATAAAGTGTTTTTGACATTAGATGCGTGTGAACCTGTTGTAGGAGACGCCAAAACAACATTAGGAACCTTTAAATAGCATAATAGGGGCTCTTTACATGATTATATTTTAGTGATCAGGGGCCGTATTCACAAAGAATTTTATCTTACCACTAGGAGTACTCCTAAATCGCACTAAAATATTTTAGCTAGGAGTTTTCTCTTAAAAGTTATTCACAACGCCTTTCAGACCTACTCTTAGTAAGGAAAAATGACAACTTCGTTGCTATGGATGACGTCACTTCTCATGCACGAGCCTCCTCGCAATGATCACGGTGATTGGTTATTAGATGACAGGGCCATCATGCGGAACATAACACAGACGCAACAAATCATGGAATTACGACATCTAAATATGTCTGTGTCCTACACAAAATAATAATAGTAATGTCATCGAAATGTTTGTGCAGGCCCCAGTGAAGTGTAATTCTAACAAGGCAGAGAGAGAGAGGTCGTGAATTAAATTAAATTAAATCAAGGTAGCCTAATACCCCAATGAAAACCGCCACTTGCCTAATAATGAAAAAACGACACTTGCATTAACACTTGCTTGGTTAATTGACATCCTATTAGCCTAAATAGACTACTTAAAGCAAGGAAATGTTACTCCTATTGAAGTAATGTAATGGTGTGTTCACACCGAACGCGAATAAAGCGTCAAATACGCGTCTATCGCTTGAACATTCGCTCGAGTTCAAATTTTTCAACTTGCGCGGAAGACATTCGCGGCAAACGCGTCGCCCAATTCGCGTCATTTGCAACGCCCGGCGCGAATGATGCGCCTATTCGCGTCTTTGCATTGACTTTGTATGTAATCTACTCGCGCAAATAATTAAATTCGCGTTCGGTGTGAACACACCATAATAGTTGAATGACGGTGGATTATGAATTCGCCAAAACGGAAAAGAAAGCCCAACTGGACGCAGGATCAGTTACTGCTGCTGGCCCAAAAACATAATAAAAGTGAAATTCGGCACTGGGATATCAAGCAAAACTAAGCGTGAGATGGGAGAGGATATGTCTGCAGATCAATGCAGCATTTCCGCTTGTGTCGCGGACCCCGGACGACTGCGAGAGGCGCTGGTGTGCGCTACAATCCTTTGTGAATCGGTCTTAGTGAGTTAGGAGTCCTCTCGACTGCTTTTAAGCTGTCCCAGACTTAGGTGCTACTTTTAGGGCTAAAATGCTTCGTGAATTACTCTTAGTGAAAAAAATTAGGAGTCCTAAAGTTAGGAGTGACACGCCCATTATTTTTAGGAGTTGCTCCTAAATTTGCCAGTTAGGAGCTACTTTTAGCCTTAAAATTCTTTGTGAATACGGCCCCTGGTGTACTATTCCTTACCTGGTGAATTCACTTGTTAATATTTAAGCTTGTGTTTTCTAGGGATCGAACCCTTGACATTGGTGTTGCTAGCGCAGAGTTGTATACGTGGCTTTTGCATTGACAAGCACCACTCACATTGGAAGTGTAAAAAGTTTTTGATTTCTCTCGTGTTATGTGTCTTTTCTCAGATGATCCTGACGGCTGTTTCGTTCCTCCAGAGTTGGATAAGACTGAACACACGTTTGAGGTGAGCTTAAACTATTATTTTACAAGGTCAGATGCAAATGCAGATGTTTGCTAAATCGACAGAACATGGCTCATTTAGACAGTGGAAAAGCCTCCCAAAACTCAATGCAATAGAAAACAATAGAAGCAGTTGTGTGTGTGTGTGTGTGTGTGTGTGTATGACATGCTGTGAGAGGAGAGTGATGCTGCGATCATGAGGTTTCAGCGCATCTCTTCTTCTGTAGCAGTTTCACTTCATTTTTATACACACACATGTTTCATATTCCCCAAAAATTACCAAAAACACGCTGTCAAGCTTTTGGGACATGTACCATATACCAATGATATAGCAGTAATACAATAATTGTAAAAACTGAAGAAAAAAAAAAGTATATTATATTATTAATAATTTGTTGCCTCTTCATGACATAGCCTAATTTGAATAATTTTGTCATTTTAATTTTATACTTCTTTTTTTTGGTTGCTTTATATACGCTTAATCTTTGTCAGATGGAGGCCAGCCTTCTTTTTATTTTGTTCGTATAAGAATAAAATTAAAATGACAAAATGATTAAAAGTATGTTATGACCATACAAAAAAAAAGTATATTATTAAAATTATGTTACTTCATATACACTTTTTTGTCAGATAGAGATCATTCTTTTTTGGCATGTTCAGAATATAATTGTAATAATTTAGTAATTTTTATTTTCTTCTTCTTTTTTCTTCATATACACTTCATTCTTATTTCAGATAGAGACCAGTCCTTTTTTTTGGCATGTTCATAACATAATTTTTTTTTTTTTATCATTGATTAATATTAACATTTTAATCTTATACTTCATTTTTAGGATGACTGTTGCATTCTGTCCTGGGCCTACAGATGAAAAATAGCCATTGTTTTATTTCATAAACTAATAAATAAAATAAAAACTAAATAACCTGCTAGCTTCTACCTTATATGTATATATATATACAGTAAAGGAATAAAAACCACAAGCCAGAATTGCTGTAGGCGGTTTGCATTTCTGATATGAAAACATCTTATGTAATGCTCTTTGAGTGGGAATGAACAGCCTTTTAATTTAAACACACCTTCATTCTGTTTCTCTACAAAATATGAATGTATTCTGAAGTAATGATGATGATCATATTTAATCATGATATTAAGAATCGTATCATCAGATTTTGGACAGACTGCTGAGTCTCACCTGTGAGAGGTTCTGTTGTTTGCAGCGTTTCTGATCTTCTTTTCATTGAAATGTTTGATTCATTTTCGAGCTGAGCAATGAGTCGTTTTGAAGAGTTTTGAAGAAAATATAGTGTCAAAGAAACTGTTATTGGAAAAACTGAAACATCATTTTAATCATATGTTTTTTTTACATGTTCATAACATAATTAAAATATTTTTTTTCATTTTATACTTCAATTTTGTCCTTCATATACACTTGGGGATGGAGACAAGTCTTTTTTCTTTTTGCATTTGCATAACATAATTTTAATAATTTTGTAATATTGATTTTATACTTCATATACTTTTCAGGATTATTTTTTCATTTTCATAACACAATTTTCATAATGTTGTTTTGCATGTTCATAACATTTTTAACAATATTTTTGCAGGTTCATGACATAATTTGATTAATTTTGTAATAATAATTTTATACTTCATTTTCATACTTTAAATACACTTCATTTTCTGTCAGATGGAAGCCAGTATTGTTTTTTTTTGTTGGTTTTTTTACATGTTCATAACATAATTTTCATAATATTTTGTTGCAGGTTCATATTATAATTTTAATAATTTTGTCATTTTAATTGTACAGGCTACTTCTTTTTTATATTTACAGTTCTTTTTTTGCATGTTCATAACATTTGAATAATTGTCATTTTATACATTTTTATACTTCATATACACTTAATTTTCTCAGACGGAGACCAGTCTTTTTCTTTTTGCATTGTCATAACATCATTTTTATAGTTTTGGAATATTGATTTTACTTCATATATTTTTCAGATAGAGGCCAGTCATTTATTACTATATTTTTTTTGTTTTCATAATATGTTTTTTGCATGTTCATAACAATGTTAATAATATTTTTGCAAGTTCATAGCATAATTTTAATAATTTTGTCATTTTAATTTTATACTTGTATACTTCATATACACTTCTTGTTTTTGGTTGCATTTTCATAACATAATTTTCTTAATATTTGTTGCCGGTTCATATTATAATTGTAATATTATTTTCATTTTAATTATACACTTCTTTTTTTTGTGCATGTTCATAACATTTTAATAATTTTGCAATTTTAACATTATTCTTACATTTTAGGGTGCATTCTGTCCTGTGACTTCAGCTTAAAAAAAACACGTTTATTTAATAAACTAATAAACAAAATAAAATCTAAATAAATGTGCCTTTTGTTTTGTAAACAAAAATACTCCCAATGCATGAGATGATCCATTAGTGATAGTAGATCAGGTTTTGGGTTTATAGTCTGTATATGTTTAAGAAGTATGATTTAATTAGCATGGCTCTCTGTTCTCCAGGGTCACATGTTCTCGTTAGGCTCCACCCTCTGGGCGGCGCTGGATCGCGTCACGGATCCGGATCAGGATCCGGATCAGGATCTGAGTGAAGAGAGCAAGTGTTTGCTGGAGCAGATGCAGCAAGAGAAACCTGAGGATCGACCCACTCTCCAGGTTCATCAGTCTTGTAGTGAAATACTTCTGCTTTTAGTTTTACATGAACAGTTTGATGGACATCAGCGGCTTTAGAGACGGCTGCATGATGACCAATAAAGTATTGGCTGATACATGAGAAGAAAATAAAAAACTGAAACATCATTTAAATAATTATATTAGCATGTTCATAATATAATTTTAAACATGTATGTTTAAATAATCATAAAAAAAGTAAAGTACAGTATGAGACCACTTGTGAAAATACTTCTGATTTAATTTTTTACATTAACAACATACCAATGTGAAAGGGATGCATATTAAAATATAATTTCTATTATTTCTTTTGCATGTTAATAACATAATTTTGTCATTTACAACAAAAATAATTCTGCCTTTTTTAAACTAACTTATTATTGTTGTATTAACAACATAACAATTTGATTGCGGCATAAACATGGACAAACAAGCACTGGGTTTGATGTGAACAACTCTTGATGTTAATGTTTGATGACCTTTGCTAAGGTGTCCGTGAGCGCAGTCTTGTGGTTATTCAAAGCTAGTGCACTGAAATAAAAGCAGTTTCTCTGACACACAAGAGGCACAGACTGCAGTGTTACCTGAGCTCTTTACCTTCAAAGATCTCTCCTCCATCTGACCGATGTGAACGGTCTCCAGAACCAAGCTTTACTGACGCCTCTAGATAGAAAACTCACACTAACCTTCCAGGAATAACAAAATATCCTATCGATCTGTTCTGGACTCTCTAAAGATTTTTTTGTCAGCTGAACCTCTGAGATTTTAAGTTAATATTTCAATAATTTAATAGTTAATTTAATAAATAATTTAATAATTTACTCAAGTTCACATGATATGCACGTAAAAAAATTAGAAAATACGATTTCAGAACTTCCACGACTTTCTGTGGAGAATTAAATATTTAAAATGTAAAAAAAGAGAAAAAAGTATTGCTTTCAATGGGGAAAATTTGATAATAATTATTGCATAAATATTAATTAGTACCATTAAATCCTCTCAAAATGCAAAATAAAAAAGATAAAATATTGTTGAACAAAAACATATTACATTGATTTTACTGAAGAAAATAGAACATTTTGTGTGTCCAGTCACTTCTAACTGTAAGGAACGTGAGTGTGGTCCACAAATAAGGGCCGCTCAAGGGCTAATGATGTGTGTGAATAACGTCACCTCTTGTTTCCAGGATCTTCTCTCTCAGGCCGAGGCTTTACTCGCTGACGTCTCGTCCACAACCGTCTGTCGGAAACTGTCCGCTGTTGGCCGAAGACTTCTGTCCATAGAGTCCGTCGCTACTTTCCCAGGTTTGATCCCACAGTTGTCTCATAATGTGACTTCCCATATATATATATATATCAAAATAGCAGCAAACAAAGAATAAACAAACAACATAAACCTAAAGAAACGTAAAAAAAACATTGCAAAAACATTAAAAAAACTAACTGAACATACTACAAGATACCAAACAAACCTCAAAAAGACAAAGCTTAATACAATTTCAAGTCCAAATAGCAGCAAACAAAGAATAAATAAACAACATAAAGTTATCATTCAAAAAAATACCTTCAAAAGAAATTATGGATTGATAATTAATCCAAAAATATAAAATTGAAATAAATAAATGATTTAAAAATGCAACTCATTTAAACAAGTAAAATAAAACACTTAAAAATAATGAATAATAAAAAGAATACATTTAAATATGTATATATATATATATATATATATATATTTTGTTTCACTTGCATGTCATGTGATCATTAATTGACATCAGAGAATAATAAAAAAATTATAATAATAATAATTTAAAAAACAATACAAGTATGTGACCATTAACTGACATCCGAGAATAATAATAAAAAAATGAAAAAAAATTATATATATATATATATTTTTTTTTTTTGTCTCCCTGCATTTCCTGTGACCAATAACTGACATCGGACAATGGTAGAAATAAAATATCTAAATAAATTATTAAAATGTTTGTTTAGCTGCATGTCAGTCACTATTAACGGACATCAGACAGTAACACAAAAAGTATGTGTGTGTGTATATATATATATGGGTTTTTTTCTGCATGTCATGTGAGCATTAACTGAGAACAATGAACATGTTAATTGTATTGAAATGTTCAGATAAAATCTCAGGTGGTCTTCAAGTAAATATTGTATCTTAAAGGGGTTCTGCTGACAAAAGCGGTGTGGGAGTCGCAGCTCTAGTATCTTGCGTTGCCAGATCTTTCTATTTCTTCACAGACGGTTCCAGTTTCCATTTTCTTGATTGCAAAGCTGTAAGCTCAAACTCCACGGAGAATCACAGCAGCGCTCGTCCCATGATCAGAAACCCCTCCGGCGACTCCTGTGACGGAGAAGAGCTCCTGTTGAAGCGGAGAGGTTTGGTGTGTCACGGATCTCGTTGGTCTGGAGCTTCGGCTGGACTCAGGTACAGAAACACACTGCAGAAATGCTTTTCTTTCTTAGTATGTTTGTCTTGTTTCCAGTCCAAATGTCAAAAAGTTCTTAAATCAAGAAGCATTTACTAGATGAGTAAAATGACATAAGATATCATGTCTTGTTTTCCGGGGGAATTAATCAAAATTAAGTGAGTTTTTACTTAAAACAAGCAAAATTATCTGTAAATGGGGTAAGAAAAATAATCTTATTTCAAACAGAAACAATATTATTTTTCTGAACCCCATTGACAGATAATTTTTCTTGTTTTAAACAAAAACTCACTTAATTTTTATTTATTTCCCCAGAAAACAAGACATAATATCTTATGGCATTTTACTACTTTAGTTCATTATGTAAAGTCATTATACACCACTGAAAACATAGTTATGTATATGATATTGCATTTCTGTCAACAGATCCTCCTAAATATTACACAATGCACTTTTAAATAATAAAGCACTGTACATAAAACAGAAATAAGCTGAGAATTATAATAATAATACAAATTGAATGCATATTGACTCGGCTCTTCACCAGGGAAGACGAGCCCTCGCCGGACAGCAGGTCTCAGAACAGTTCTCCGGTGCGCAGGAGGAGTCAGGAGAGGAGAGCCCTGAACCGGTCCTGCTCCGTGCCGGACTCCAACAACCCTCGGGTGTTCAGTCCTCCCTCACACACTCCCATCAGCATGCTGGTGTCCGACCTGTCCGAGATCAGCGAGGACGAGAGCTGGGGCGGGAGACTGCGGGCTAAACACACTCGGGCTGAGAGACGGTCCGAGTGGGGAGGAGAGGAACCATGTGTCCCGTCTGTGGATGCCACGGTCCAACCGGATGCTCGTGAGACGGATCACACAGACTTTGTAGACGCTGAAATCCTGGAAGACGGAGATCTGTGCTGCTCAAACCACGACTACAAAACTATCCTGTCCCTGAATGAGGGATATCAGAACGAGGTTTGTTTGTTGATACAGAACGGCCGAAATTTGACCGATTTTATTATTATTTGGAATTAAAATTCCATGATGATTTACTCTCCCGCACGTCATCCGAGATGTTCATGTCTTTCTTTCTTCAGTCGAAAAGAAATGAAGGTTTTTGAGGAAAACATTGCAGGATTTTCTCCATATAGTGACTTCAATGGTCCAACGGGTCGAAGGTCCAGATGTGAGTTTCAGTGCAGCTTCAAAGTCTCGACACGATCCAGCCGAGGAATAAGAGTCTGATCTAGACAAACCAGCGGACATTATATAACAAAAATAAACATTTATATACTTTTTAACCACTAATGCTGGTCTTGCACTGGCTGTGATGCGACACACATTACGTAATCAGGTTAAACGGTCAATTGATCTATTAGTTAAAATTTGACCCTATTCACCTGAAGTGTCTTCCCTTACAATTTGTTGTAATACACTTTAGGACCAAAAACACATTTCCTTACTTACAATTTTAGCTACGTTGTACACTCATCTTGAGTTTTGGTGATTTTCAGAGCAGGTCAAATTAATTTCAAGAATGTTTTCTAGCTCAGATAAGTTCAAATGTTTAAAGTTGGCAGTTTCGCTAGTTTTTCTCCTCTATAGTGTCGTATATCGAGTGAAACGCTTCTGGAACAAGAACAAATGTGGGCGGGGCTTGATTGTGTCTGTGGGGAATTGATTAGATGGTTGTGGTTTGCAATTGGCTGATCTCGTGTGAGTGACAGGTTATAGCCCCACCCACATCACCAGAGAAGAGAAGAGATGCTGCAAGAGGGAGTTATTCTAAACTAATCACTATTCTATCATACTTGGTTCAATGAAGGGATTATATTACAGTTGGTTAATACCAATGGATATTTGTTATCATATACTTAATTTCTACCAGTTAAACAAAGAGGTAGCAATATGATATAAGAAATGCAAGTTTTTGAGGAAAACATTGCAGGATTTTCTCCATATAGTGACTTCAATGGTCCAACGGGTCGAAGGTCCAGATGTGAGTTTCAGTGCAGCTTCAAAGTCTCGACACGATCCAGCCGAGGAATAAGAGTCTGATCTAGACAAACCAGCGGACATTTTATAATAAAAATAAACATTTATATACTTTTTAACCACAAATGCTTGCCTTGCTCATCCATGATTTCACGCATTACGTAATCACGTTCAAACATTTTTTTTGTAAATGGCGTTTGACTCAGTCTTTGCACGTTCGCTTTGTAAACACTGGGTCTGTTCTTACACCTACGTCACGCTTGACCTTTCAACCTGATTACGTAATGTGTGTCGCATCACAGCCAGTGGAAGACCAGCATTAGTGGTTAAAAAGTATATAAATGTTTATTTTTGTTATAAATGTCGGCTGGTTTGTCTAGATCAGACTCTTATTCCTCGGCTGGATCGTGTCGAGACTTTGAAGCTGCACTGAAACTCACATCTGGACCTTCGACCTGTTGGACCATTGAAGTCACTATATGGAGAAAATCCTGGAATGCTTTCCTCAAAAAACATAATTTCTTTTTGACTGAAGAAAGAAAGACATGAACATCTCGGATGACGTGCGGGAGAGTAAATCATCAGGACATTTTAATTCTGAAGTGAACTACTCCTTTAAGGCAAGACACTACAGTTTCTTTCCTGCACTGCTCAATATTGAGATTTGAGTCTATTCTGTTCTATAACATATCTTCTTTCAGACTAGTGGAAAGAAAACATCCAAAATAAACATGTAAGTGTTTTAACCAGGGCCTAAACCTAACTTTGGCCGCACCTGCCAATGGCTGGTGACTTACAAACATTTACTAGCCATAAGCATGTTTTAGCAAAAACAGGCAGAAAGTTTTAGATACCAGTGAAAATTCACAATCCTCTATTCCAATTTCGATGCTACAGCTAATTATTATTGAAGACGCAGTAGTATCAGTAGTTTTCAGGTGTTTTTTGACATATTTTTTTGTGAATTTGCACTTTCTGCGCTCGCTTCTGATGTTTGAGCACACAAACCCTTCCACACAGCGTTCAAGTAACGAATTGATTTCTTTTTTGCATCTTCTTGTGCTTGAATATTTCCATTGGCAAGGCTTAAACTCTCAAAGCAGGGCTGGTCATTTCTTCACGTTCATGTTCTCACAACACTGCCTTGTTAGAGTTCATAAAAGTCAGCTGGGGAATAATGGTGATACAGTTTTAGCACTTAGAAAGTGTAATAAGATGTAAAATGAATGAGTGATGTTGTTGTATGTTTGTTTCCCAGTGGATGTCCCTGCGGGATCTTCTCTCTCGCTCCGCGCCGCTCTCAGTGAACGAGCTCTGGGCTTTATGCCACACGTGTCTCTCCACACTGCAGACGTACATCGACCTCCCGGGTCAGTCGGCAACATCAAAGACGCTTTACTTCGTCTTTGCTAATGTATCATGTCGATAATTAACCTATATTTTAATGCAACATTATGCAGTGCTTTGCTAATGCACATATGCATGTTTAATAAACATTTTCTAATACTAATATGATTATTATGCATTAAGTGTAGGGACCTGATGGAATATTCACACTGAAGGAATAAAGTGAACATCAAAAAAGTTAGAACTTGAAAATAAACAAAAAATATAGAGAAGTGGTGACCAGTTACAGCATACAAAAATATACACTTTTCTATAAGCTTGTTTCTGCCATGGAGTAAAAAACATTAAATACAAAAGATAGTTGCGAGTTTATATCTCACAATGTAGATTTTTTTTTTTCTGAATTGCAAGATTACATCTCACAATTCTGAGAAAGTCAATTATAAACTTGAATTTATGAGAAATAAAGTCAGAATTTTGAGATAAAAAGAATTCGCAATTAGCTTTTTTATTTTTAATTACGTGATGGAAACCAGCTTCCGTACTTTGTCTTGTCATTTCAACACTATGAAAATAATATACAATGCGATTAATTAATATATAAATAAAATAGATTTGACATTCCCATAAATTTTAAACTAAAATCTTGAATGTTAAAGCAAGATTTTTTATTATTTACTATCATTATTATTAAAAAAATGTCAAACAATTAAAATAAAACACTTACAAATAATAAATAATAAAAATTGAACAAATAATTTTATTTTTTATTTATTTGTTTATTTGCATGTCATGTCACCATTAACTGACATCAGACAATAATAAAAATTATAATAAATATATATTTATAAATGGTCAAATGACATGCAGCTAAACAAAAATTGTAATAATTTTTTTATTAAAACACACACACACACACACACACACACTTTTACCTGCATTAACTGTTTGAACATTTTTCGTTGTTAAATTATTGAAATATTCAAATAAAATCTGAATTTCAAGTAAATATTTTACAATATTTTGGCTGACTTGATATTCCTAAGATTTTAACCTAAAATCTTGAATGTTGAAGCAAGGAATGTAATTTTCCAGCTACCCACATTCAGACACACTGATAGTCTCAGCAACCATCACACTTTAATAAGAACCAAAAGCAAGATTTACTCCGCAATCGTTTGCTCCTGATTTGTATGATCACGTGTTTGAGAAGAATCCCTGTTCTCTGTGTTCCATCAGACTATCTGTGTCTGGACTCAGTGTTTGTGGGCTGTGAAGGAGAGATGCTGTTTCTGAGACCCAAAGACTCAGGTACGAGCTCTAACAACTAATGCAATCGTTATAACTGATATCAGTTCATCAACTCCTAGACTCCGGAACGCACTTCCTTCTCATATTAAAGATGCACAAAATCGAAACATTTTTTGAATCCAACATAAAAACTCACTTTTTTAGGTTGGCTTTTTCCTAATGGTTTAATTATTTTGTATTCCAGTGTGTTCTTTTGTTTTTTGTACGCTTTTCTGTGTATTTTTTTACTCTTATTATTATTTATTTTTATGTAAAGTGCCTTGAGAAGCTGCTTTAAAGGCGCTATATAAAATAAAGTTTATTATTATTATTATTAACTCTGTCCTTCTCAGTCTCCTGTGATGCGTTTTTCCTGGCTCCTGAATTTCAAGAACATGGAATTGTGACGGAAAAGGTTTGTCATTATGGCAACCACTTTCTAGTAGTTACACACAGTGTTGTGTGTTTAAACGGGTGTGTGTTTTTCTCTAGGCGTGTGTGTACGGGGTGGCAGCCGTCCTCTGGGCTTCAGCCAAGTTTGATTTGTCTCCCGATCAAAAGTTGGCCATGCCGAGGAAACTCAAGAGACTCCTGCTGGAGATGGCCAAGAGAACGCCGATCGAAAGACCGTCCATTGAAACGGCCAAAAAGGTGCTTGAGAACGATCATACATTATTTATTCATTTAAAACGTATTTTATAGAGTCATATTTTACTCAAACACCCAAAATATAGGAGAATTATATTTATTATAAAGAAAAATAAAATGAAAAGAAAAGTCTATTGTGCAGGAATTTTATATAGTGTATACAAATAATAGAAATAATAATAATAATAAAAAAAAAGTTTTTAAGTGTCTTATGCTCAATGTACAGTAATATTGTGAAATATTATTACAATTAAAATCATTAAAAAATCTTTACAATATTTACAATACACTTTACTTTAAGGTTTCATTTGTTAACATAATTAATACAAATTGTATTAATTAACAGTGGCAAAGATTATTAAACGCTGCAAAAAAAATAATATTGCACACTGTTAATTAATAAAAATATAGTTGTTCATTGTTTTTAACTAATTAACTAATGTTAAAAAAATCCAACATTAAATCTAATTAAAACATTTTATAAGTAAATGTTGAAATTAACATATGTAACATATTGTAACATTATTGTTCATTGTTAGTTCGCGTTAAAAAACTAAGAGCTTTGGGTACTAGAAAAGTGCATTATGAATAACAAATTATTATTATGATTATTATATGTTAACTAAAGTGAGTAATATTAACAAAGTGCAATTATGGATGATTATTATGTAATTATTAATTCAGTGTTAAAAACGAAAGGCTTGATTTTCTTTATGCAACGAATGCATTTCTGGTTTGTTTTCTTCCTCCAAACTCTCGTTCTGCGGTCTCTCAGGCTGTTTGCGTATGGTAATGTGGGTTATTCTGCTGTCATCTTTCAGTGTTGCCGTGACTACCTCTGCCGGCAGGGAAGTGATGCAGAGAGTGTGTGGACGCAGCTCATCAGTCGAGTTCATCAGGTGAAGCGGCAGGATCTGATCAGTCCTGTGATCTCGTCTTTATAGTTCTATAGAGTCTCTGTTCTCTGTGCCTTTTACTGGGGAAACTTGTTTCCACCATGGAATGGAATTGCAACGTTTTATCTCCAAATTTAGCAGCACGATAGCTCACTGTCTGCACATACTCCCGGCAGAAATAAAGTCAGAATTGCAAGAAAAAAGTCATAATTGCGAGAAAAAAGTCTTAATTGCGAGAAATAAAGTCAGAATTGCGAGAAATAAAGACAGAATTGCGAATTGCAAGATATAAAGTCAGAATTATGAGAAATAAATTGAGAACTGTGAAATAAAGTCAGAATTGCGAGAAATAAAGGCAGAATTACGAGAAATAAGTCAGAATTGTGAGAAAAAAGTCTTAATTGCGAGAAATAAAGTCAGAATTGCGAATTGCAAGATATAAAGTCAGAATTATGATAAATAAATTGAGAACTTCGTGAAATAAAGTCAGAATTATGATAAATAAATTGAGAACTGTGAAATAAAGTCAGAATTGCGAGAAATAAGTCATAATTGCGAGAAATAAAGTCATAATTGCGAGAAATAAAGTCAGAATTGCGAGAAATAAAGTGAGAATTGTGAGAAATAAAGGCAGAATTACGAGAAATAAAGTCAGAATTGCGAGAAAAAAGTCTTAATTGCGAGAAATAAAGTCAGAATTGCGAATTGCAAGATATAAAGTCAGAATTATGATAAATAAATTGAGAACTGTGAAATAAAGTCAGAATTGCGAGAAAAAAGTCATAATTGCGAGAAATAAAGTCATAATTGCGGGAAATAAAGTCAGAATTGCGGGAAAAAAGTCTTAATTGCGAGAAATAAAGTCAGAATTGCGAGAAATAAAGACAGAATTGCGAATTGCAAGATATAAAGTCAGAATTATGAGAAATAAATTGAGAACTGTGAAATAAAGTCAGAATTGCGAGAAATAAAGGCAGAATTACGAGAAATAAAGTCAGAATTGTGAGAAAAAAGTCTTAATTGCGAGAAATAAAGTCAGAATTGCGAATTGCAAGATATAAAGTCAGAATTATGATAAATAAATTGAGAACTTCGTGAAATAAAGTCAGAATTATGATAAATAAATTGAGAACTGTGAAATAAAGTGAGAATTGCGAGAAATAAAGGCAGAATTACGAGAAATAAAGTCAGAATTGTGAGAAAAAAGTCTTAATTGCGAGAAATAAAGTCAGAATTGCGAATTGCAAGATATAAAGTCAGAATTATGATAAATAAATTGAGAACTGTGAAATAAAGTCAGAATTGCGAGAAAAAAAGTCATAATTGCGAGAAATAAAGTCATAATTGCGGGAAATAAAGTCAGAATTGCGAGAAATAAAGTGAGAATTGTGAGAAATAAAGGCAGAATTACGAGAAATAAAGTGAGAATTGCGAGAAATAAAGTCAGAATTGCGAATTGCAAGATATAAAGTCAGAATTATGAGAAATAAATTGAGAACTTCGTGAAATAAAGTCAGAATTATGATAAATAAATTGAGAACTGTGAAATAAAGTCAGAATTGCAAGTAAAAAGTCAGAATTGCGAGAAATAAAGTCAGAATTGCGAGAAATAAAGTCAGAATTGCGAGAAATAAAGTGAGAATTGTGAGAAAAAAAGTGAGAATTGCGAGAAATAAAGTGAGAATTGCGAGAAATAAAGTCAGAATTGCAAGAAAAAAGTGAGAATTGCGAGAAATAAAGTGAGAATTGCAAGAAAAAAGTCAGAATTGCGAGAAATAAAGTCAGAATTACAAGAAAAAAGTCAGAATTGCGAGAAATAAAGTGAGAATTGTGCGGAGCCCCTGAGGGGACCTTTGCAAAAAAATAAAAATAAAGACTATCGCGAGCGCACGAGAAAACTATCACAAGCACACGAGAAATTGTAATGCGTGCGACGCGATAGTCTTTATTTTTATTTTTTTGCAAAGGTCCCATCAGGGGTTCCGTAGAATTGTGAGAAATAAAGTCAGAATTGCAAGAAATAAAGTCAGAATTATGAGAAATAAAGTCAGAATTGTGAGAAAAAAATTGCAATTACCTTTTTTATTTGCAAGCTTATATTCCCCAATAATGACTTTTTCTCGCAATTGCTAGGTTTTATAACAATTCTTAAAAAAAGTCAGAATTGTGAGTAATAACCTCAGAATTTGCGTGAAAGTCAGAATTGTGAAATAAAATGTTGCAGCCTTTTTAGTTTTTTATTGTGTGTGGGAAACGAGTTTGCTTATTTGATCAACTGTGTGTCACAGAAACATCGTCCTTCTACCGCATTAAACATGTCAGTCCAGAGATATCAGCGACACACACTCATCTCTGTCACGTTTGCACATCTAATACACATTTTTTTTGTGTAACTCCAGCTTCCAGATAGTCGTGAATTGATTTTTCATGAGATTTCTCAAAGGAATGCAATTGCTCAGAGGTTGATCTTTCAAATCTCAGGAGACTCGGTTTAAGTATCAACGTTCCCACAGATGTTTATTCAAAAATTATTTATACAGACTAAAAATAGAAACAAATAAAGAGCTACTCTTATAAACATACCAGCTGTCAGTGCAAACGCTCGTCTGTAACTCTTTCCTGTGTTAATACATGAACTTCGCTCAGCAAGTTTCTCATAACAAGAAGCGTTTGTCATTGAAGGCATTGGATGGGAATAGAGTTACGGAGGAACCGTGTTCTCCTGAGAGTGCTGAAAACACACCTGACCCACACGTGGGACAAGTTCACACAGGTGCGAGTCATTCTGTCAATGTGCATTTTTAACATTTCAGATTAAACTCTCACAAAACCTGTCAAGAACATTTTCAGCTCATATTTCACCCTAAAATCAGAAGAGAGAAATTCTACTGCTCATAAAGAAAGCCTATTATCTGTATGACAATTAAGCACATTTACCCACACATTCTTTGTAATGTAATGTGAAACGAATCTCATATTAATATAATGTAAAAAAAATAAAAAAATAATTATGTATATGCACTGTTATTCAAAAGTTTTGGGTGGATTATGCTAACAAGGCTGTGTTTATTGATCAAAACTACAGTAAAAATTGTGAAATGTTATTATAATGTAAATCAGCTGTTTTCTATGTGAATATACAGTAAAGTGTCATTTATTCCTGTGATCAAAGCTGAATTTTCAGCATCATTACTCCAGTCTTCAGTGTCACATGATCCTTCAGAAATCACTCTAATATGAGGATTTGATGCTCAAGAAACATTTATGATTATTATCAGTGTTGAAAACAGTTGTGCTGTTTCATATGTTTGTGAAAACCCTATTATTATTAATTATTTGTTTTAAACAGAAATATTTTGTATGTATATACAGTATATATATATATATATATATATATATATAAAATGAGAATAAAAAAAAACATAAAAAAACTCAAAAGTAAAATGGATGCATTACAGAAATGAGAATATGAGGGGAATGTGCTTTTGCTATTAAAATACAGTTATCTTGCAAAAATAATTGCATTAATGGTCCTAAAATAGGATTCCTCTTCATCATGTAAAATTTCATATATCTGTTTTGGGGGGTGAAATGTGATCCACACGTTTTCATGAGATCCACCCTGTTTTGTAATAAACGTTCAAACATGTGTGTCGGCTGAAAATGAACATGCTTTACATTTGTGTGTTATTAATCTGCAGGTGTGTTTTTGTCTCAGGTTTTGTCCCGTTGGCCCTCGAGGGCCGGTTGGCCCCTGTAACGGGTCCTGTTCCTCATAATTACCCAGTGTCCTCCACCAGCATCCGTTTGCCCGAGGCCTTCACCTCTCCTGATACACACTTCAGCCCGATAGTCCTGACCCCAAACACACAGTCTGAGCTGTAGGTCTACTCACACACTTTTATATAGGCTATATATCCGTGATAGATGGACTATCCGCTTTCACTTCTATAACTTTTTTACACTTCGATTTTTTCAAGTGCTTTCACTTCTGCAATAATCTACCAAGTGTCTTCTTTATAAAGAGACCAACCTTAGGTCAAAGCATTCATGAATTACAACATTTAAGTTCAGATCGGGGGTGAAAGTGAACCGTTTCAAGAAGAATTCACTGATATATTTACCCCACATTTTTTTGCAAGGAATCAAGTCAGAATTGCAAGAAATAAAGTCAGAATTGTGAGAAATCAAGTTAGAATTGCGAGAAATCAAGTCAGAATTGCGAGAAATGAAGTCAGAATTGCGAGAAATGAAGTCAGAATTGCGAGAAATGAAGTCAGAATTGCAAGAAATAAAGTCAGAATTGTGAGAAATCAAGTCAGAATTGCGAGAAATCAAGTCAGAATTGCGAGAAATCAAGTCAGAATTGCAAGAATTAAAGTCAGAATTGCGAGAAATGAAGTCAGAATTGCAAGAAATCAAGTCAGAATTGCGAGAAATAGTCAGAATTGTGAGAAATGAAGTCAAAATTGCAAGAAATAGTCAGAATTGCGAGAAATAAAGTCAGAATTGCGAGAAATAAAGTCAGAATTGCGAGAAATGAAGTCAGAATTGCGAGAAATAAAGTCAGAATTGCGAGAAATAAAGTCAGAATTGCGAGAAATAGTCAGAATTATGAGAAATAGTCAGAATTATGAGAAATAGTCAGAATTATGAGAAATAAAGTCAGAATTGTGAGAATTAAAGTCAGAATTGCGAGAATTAAAGTCAAAATTGTGAGAAATAAAGTCAGAATTGTGAGAAATAGTCAGAATTGTGAGAATTAAAGTCAGAATTGCGAGAATTAAAGTCAGAATTGCGAAAAAAATGTCAGAATTGCGAGAAATAAAGTCAGAATTGTGAGAAATAAAGTCAGAATTGTGAGAATTAAAGTCAGAATTGCGAGAATTAAAGTCAGAATTGTGAGAAATAGTCAGAATTGTGATAAATAGTCAGAATTATGAGAAATAGTCAGAATTGTGAGAAATGAAGTCAGAATTGCGAGAAATGAAGTCAGAATTGCGAGAAATGAAGTCAGAATTGCGAGAAATAAAGTCAGAATTGCGAGAATTAAAGTCAGAATTGCGAGAAATAAAGTCAGAATTGCGAGAATTGAAGTCAGAATTGCGAGAAATAAAATCAGAATTGTGAGAAATCAAGTCAGAATTGCGAGAAATCAAGTCAGAATTGCGAGAAATCAAGTCAGAATTGCGAGAAATAATCAGAATTGCGAGAAATAAAGTCATACTTGCGAGAATTAAAGTCATAATTGCGAGAAATAAAGTCAGAATTGTGAGAAATCAAGTCAGAATTGCGAGAAATCAAGTCAGAATTGCGAGAAATCAAGTCAGAATTGCGAGAAATCAAGTCAGAATTGCAAGAATTAAAGTCAGAATTGCGAGAAATGAAGTCAGAATTGCAAGAAATCAAGTCAGAATTGCGAGAAATAGTCAGAATTGTGAGAAATGAAGTCAAAATTGCAAGAAATAGTCAGAATTGCGAGAAATAAAGTCAGAATTGCGAGAAATAAAGTCAGAATTGCGAGAAATGAAGTCAGAATTGCGAGAAATGAAGTCAGAATTGCGAGAAATAAAGTCAGAATTGCGAGAAATAGTCAGAATTATGAGAAATAGTCAGAATTATGAGAAATAGTCAGAATTATGAGAAATAAAGTCAGAATTGTGAGAATTAAAGTCAGAATTGCGAGAATTAAAGTCAAAATTGTGAGAAATAAAGTCAGAATTGTGAGAAATAGTCAGAATTGTGAGAATTAAAGTCAGAATTGCGAGAATTAAAGTCAGAATTGCGAAAAAAATGTCAGAATTGCGAGAAATAAAGTCAGAATTGTGAGAAATAAAGGCAGAATTGTGAGAATTAAAGTCAGAATTGCGAGAATTAAAGTCAGAATTGTGAGAAATAGTCAGAATTGTGATAAATAGTCAGAATTATGAGAAATAGTCAGAATTGTGAGAAATGAAGTCAGAATTGCGAGAAATGAAGTCAGAATTGCGAGAAATGAAGTCAGAATTGCGAGAAATAAAGTCAGAATTGCGAGAATTAAAGTCAGAATTGCGAGAAATAAAGTCAGAATTGCGAGAATTGAAGTCAGAATTGCGAGAAATAAAATCAGAATTGTGAGAAATCAAGTCAGAATTGCGAGAAATCAAGTCAGAATTGCGAGAAATCAAGTCAGAATTGCGAGAAATAATCAGAATTGCGAGAAATAAAGTCATACTTGCGAGAATTAAAGTCATAATTGCGAGAAATAAAGTCAGAATTGCGAGAAATAAAGTCAGAATTGTGAGAATTAAAGTCAGAATTGTGAGAATTAAAGTCAGAATTGCGAGAATTAAAGTCAGAATTGCGAGAATTAAAGTCAGAATTGCGAGAATCAAAGTCAGAATTGCGAGAATTAAAGTCAGAATTGCGAGAATTAAAGTCAGAATTGCGAGAATTAAAGTCAGAATTGCGAGAATTAAAGTCAGAATTGCGAGAATTAAAGTCAGAATTGCGAGAATTAAAGTCAGAATTGCGAGAATCAAAGTCAGAATTGCGAGAATTAAAGTCAGAATTGCGAGAATCAAAGTAAGAATTGCGAGAATTAAAGTCAGAATTGCGAGAATCAAAGTCGGAATTGCAAGATATAAAGTCGGAATTGCGAGAAATAAAGTGAGAATTGTGAGAAATCAAGTCAGAATTGCGAGAAATAAAGTGAGAATTGTGAGAAATAAAGTGAGAATTGTGAGAAATAAAGTCAGAATTGCGAGAAATAAAGTGAGAATTGTGAGAAATAAAGTCAGAATTGCGAGAAATAAAGTCAGAATTGCGAGAAATAAAGTCAGAATTGCGAGAAATAAAGTCAATTGCGAGAAATAAAGTGAGAATTGCGAGAATTAAAGTCAGAATAGTGAGAATAAAGTCAGAATTGCAGAAATAAAGTCAGAATTGCGAGAAATAAAGTCAAAATTGCGAGAAATAAAGTCAGAATTGTGAGAATTAAAGTCAGAATTGCTAAAAATAAAGTCAAAATTGCGAGAATTAAAGTCAGAATTGTGAGAATAAAGTCAGAATTGCAGAAATAAAGTCAGAATTGCGAGAAATTGCGAGAAATAAAGTCAGAATTGTGAGAAATAAAGTCAGAATTGTGAGAAATAAAGTCAGAATTGCGAGAAATAAAGTCAGAATTGTGAGAAATAAAGTCAGAATTGCGAGAAATAAAGGCAGAATTATGAGAAATAGTCAGAATTGCGAGAAATAGTCAGAATTGTGAGAAATGAAGTCAGAATTGCGAAAAATAAAGTCAGAATTGCGAGAAATAAAGTCAGAATTGTGAGAAATGAAGTCAGAATTGTGAGAAATAGTCAGAATTGTGAGAAATGAAGTCAGAATTGCGAAAAATAAAGTCAGAATTGCGAGAAATAAAGTCAGAATTGCGAGAATTAAAGTCAGAATTGCGAGAAATAGTCAGAATTGCAAGAATTAAAGTCAGAATTGCGAGAAATGAAGTCAGAATTGCAAGAAATCAAGTCAGAATTGCGAGAAATAGTCAGAATTGTGAGAAATGAAGTCAAAATTGCAAGAAATAGTCAGAATTGCGAGAAATAAAGTCAGAATTGCGAGAAATAAAGTCAGAATTGCGAGAATTAAAGTCAGAATTGCGAGAATTAAAGTCAGAATTGTGAGAAATAGTCAGAATTGTGATAAATAGTCAGAATTATGAGAAATAGTCAGAATTGTGAGAAATGAAGTCAGAATTGCGAGAAATGAAGTCAGAATTGCGAGAAATGAAGTCAGAATTGCGAGAAATGAAGTCAGAATTGCGAGAAATGAAGTCAGAATTGCGAGAAATGAAGTCAGAATTGTGAGAAATAAAGTCAGAATTGCGAGAAATAAAGTCAGAATTGCGAGAATTGAAGTCAGAATTGCGAGAAATCAAGTCAGAATTGCGAGAAATCAAGTCAGAATTGCGAGAAATAATCAGAATTGCGAGAAATAAAATCAGAATTGTGAGAAATCAAGTCAGAATTGCGAGAAATCAAGTCAGAATTGCGAGAAATCAAGTCAGAATTGCGAGAAATAATCAGAATTGCGAGAAATAAAGTCATAATTGCGAGAATTAAAGTCATAATTGCGAGAAATAAAGTCAGAATTGTGAGAAATAAAGTCAGAATTGTGAGAATTAAAGTCAGAATTGCGAGAATTAAAGTCAGAATTGCGAGAATTAAAGTCAGAATTGCGAGAATCAAAGTCAGAATTGCGAGAATTAAAGTCAGAATTGCGAGAATTAAAGTCAGAATTGCGAGAAAGTCAGAATTGCGAGAATTAAAGTCAGAATTGCGAGAATTAAAGTCAGAATTGCGAGAATTAAAGTCAGAATTGCGAGAATCAAAGTCAGAATTGCGAGAATTAAAGTCAGAATTGCGAGAATCAAAGTCAGAATTGCGAGAATTAAAGTCGGAATTGCGAGAATCAAAGTCGGAATTGCGAGAAATAAAGTGAGAATTGTGAGAAATCAAGTCAGAATTGCGAGAAATAAAGTGAGAATTGTGAGAAATAAAGTGAGAATTGTGAGAAATAAAGTCAGAATTGCGAGAAATAAAGTGAGAATTGCGAGAAATAAAGTGAGAATTGTGAGAAATAAAGTCAGAATTGCGAGAAATAAAGTCAGAATTGCGAGAAATAAAGTCAGAATTGCGAGAAATAAAGTCAATTGCGAGAAATAAAGTGAGAATTGCGAGAATTAAAGTCAGAATAGTGAGAATAAAGTCAGAATTGCAGAAATAAAGTCAGAATTGCGAGAATTAAAGTCAGAATAGTGAGAATAAAGTCAGAATTGCGAGAATTAAAGTCAGAATTGCGAGAATTAAAGTCAGAATTGCGAGAAAGTCAGAATTGCGAGAATTAAAGTCAGAATTGCGAGAATTAAAGTCAGAATTGCGAGAATTAAAGTCAGAATTGCGAGAATTAAAGTCAGAATTGCGAGAATCAAAGTCAGAATTGCGAGAATTAAAGTCAGAATTGCGAGAATCAAAGTCAGAATTGCGAGAATTAAAGTCAGAATTGCGAGAATCAAAGTCGGAATTGCGAGAAATAAAGTGAGAATTGTGAGAAATCAAGTCAGAATTGCGAGAAATAAAGTGAGAATTGTGAGAAATAAAGTGAGAATTGTGAGAAATAAAGTCAGAATTGCGAGAAATAAAGTGAGAATTGCGAGAAATAAAGTGAGAATTGTGAGAAATAAAGTCAGAATTGCGAGAAATAAAGTCAGAATTGCGAGAAATAAAGTCAGAATTGCGAGAAATAAAGTCAATTGCGAGAAATAAAGTGAGAATTGCGAGAATTAAAGTCAGAATAGTGAGAATAAAGTCAGAATTGCAGAAATAAAGTCAGAATTGCGAGAAATAGTCAAAATTGCGAGAAATAAAGTCAGAATTGTGAGAATTAAAGTCAGAATTGCGAGAATTAAAGTCAGAATTGCGAGAATCAAAGTCAGAATTGCGAGAATTAAAGTCAGAATTGCGAGAATCAAAGTCAGAATTGCGAGAATTAAAGTCAGAATTGCGAGAATCAAAGTCGGAATTGCGAGAAATAAAGTGAGAATTGTGAGAAATCAAGTCAGAATTGCGAGAAATAAAGTGAGAATTGTGAGAAATAAAGTGAGAATTGTGAGAAATAAAGTCAGAATTGCGAGAAATAAAGTGAGAATTGCGAGAAATAAAGTGAGAATTGTGAGAAATAAAGTCAGAATTGCGAGAAATAAAGTCAGAATTGCGAGAAATAAAGTCAGAATTGCGAGAAATAAAGTCAATTGCGAGAAATAAAGTGAGAATTGCGAGAATTAAAGTCAGAATAGTGAGAATAAAGTCAGAATTGCAGAAATAAAGTCAGAATTGCGAGAAATAAAGTCAAAATTGCGAGAAATAAAGTCAGAATTGTGAGAATTAAAGTCAGAATTGCTAAAAATAAAGTCAAAATTGCGAGAATTAAAGTCAGAATTGTGAGAATAAAGTCAGAATTGCAGAAATAAAGTCAGAATTGCGAGAAATTGCGAGAAATAAAGTCAGAATTGTGAGAAATAAAGTCAGAATTGTGAGAAATAAAGTCAGAATTGCGAGAAATAAAGTCAGAATTGTGAGAAATAAAGTCAGAATTGCGAGAAATAAAGGCAGAATTATGAGAAATAGTCAGAATTGCGAGAAATAGTCAGAATTGTGAGAAATGAAGTCAGAATTGCGAAAAATAAAGTCAGAATTGCGAGAAATAAAGTCAGAATTGTGAGAAATGAAGTCAGAATTGTGAGAAATAGTCAGAATTGTGAGAAATGAAGTCAGAATTGCGAAAAATAAAGTCAGAATTGCGAGAAATAAAGTCAGAATTGCGAGAATTAAAGTCATAATTGCGAGAAATAGTCAGAATTGCGAGAAATAGTCAGAATTGTGAGAAATAAAGTCAGAATTGCGAGAAATAAAGTCAGAATTGCGAGAAATAAAGTCAGAATTGCGAGAAATAAAGTCAGAATTTTGAATTATTAACTCGTAATTGCGGATCTAGGATCTAATGCTCTTGTTTGTTTTTAAGGATTGTCTCTTTCGATGACATCACAGATGAAGCTCTCCCGCTAGAGCCAGAAGAACCGTCCGAGAGCGACGCCGAGGATGATGGGATTGGGGGAGTTTTCTCGACGGCGGATCATGTAGCCGGTTATTCATCATCATCCAGCTGTAAGACTCTCGTGAATTCACCGCCGCCAGCGATTACCCAAACAACCAATAAAGAAACGGACAAACAGCCGAACTACCCCACCCTACCATGTGACAATGGGATTTATAAAAACTTCCTGTTACAGCAAGACCCACACACAGGAAATCTGACCCTACTTCCTGTTCAGATCGCCGTGCTTCAGCCAATCACAGGCGTGCATCACTTCAGCGCAGAACCACTAAACATCAAACTACCAAAACCTTCTGTAAAACCAGACGCCACTCTCAGGAATGAACGAGTCAGTGTTTGCCATAGAGATAATAACTCAGCGTCTCCTGAGAGAGCTGTGAATATCTCTGCTCCTCACTGTGTGAATCACTCACTGCCTCTCTCCAGCTCGTGTTGGAGATGCGCGTCTGTGAAGCGTGTGTGTGACCTGATCAGAGAAGAGTTCACGTTTGACGGATGCTTGGAGGACGGACTCGGAGATCTGCCAATGGGTAAACCATTTTATATGTAAATCATTTTCATTTATTTTAATAACAATTTAACTTTTTGACTTATTTTACCGTATTATTACTTCTTTAAACATTTTTAAAAATAATTATTTGGTTTTATTTTATTTTATTCTTTTATTCGATGATTCTATTCTTTACATTTTTTTAACATTTTGTTTTGTTTTATTATTTATATTTTATTATTATGTTTGTTTTACCATTTATTAAAAACAATTTTGTATTATTTTAATTGTTTTATTTTTTACATTTTACTTTATTTTGTTTTATTTGTTTTATTATTATTATTACTATTATTATTATGTTTTACCATTTATTATTATCATTTTATCATTAGTTAATTTTTTATTTTTAAATTTTATTTTTGTTTAGCTTTTTGTATTTTTTATATTTTAGTATTATTGTATATTAATTAAATTTACTTTATCATTTTTAAAAAAAAATTAAAATGTTATTCAGTTTATTATTATATTATATAGTTTACATTTTATTTTATTCTTTTTATGTTTGTTTTTTATACAATTTATTATAATTTTTTGTATTGTTTTTTGTATTTTTTTGGCATATTTTTACATTTTACTATTTTTGTATTATTTTATAAAAATTTTAATTTAAATTTTATTTTGTTTTATTATTTTTACATTTTATTCATATAATTATTATTATTTTCAGTATAACTTGCATGTGTTAAAAATCACCCCCACCTCAACCTTTAATTCTGTGATTTATGTCATAAATTCACAGATTTTTATATTAAGTCCGTCCAGGGGAGCTCACTCTAAAAGATATAATCTAAGAAATTTACGCAATGTTCCTCTGATCTAAGTTTATGTAATAGGCCACATATTTTCGCACAGATTTAGCATTTCTTTGATGGTCTTGATCAGCTGTTTGTCACTGGACGAGGCTTCAAGGACTCCCTCGTGTCTTGTCTCTTTCTAGGAGAATACATCTTTTCCTTGAAAACTCTCCGGTTTGACACTTTTTGCCGAGCAGTAAGGGAGAAGTTTAGCGCCGTGTTCTGGGAGCAGAAGTTGCTGTGTGACCTTCACCATCTGATCAACCTGTGAGTATCAACATAAATTAATTTTATTTAATTTGTTGTTTTTGTAAGATTTTAGTTAATTTGTTGGTTAGTTAGTTAAATGGTTGTGTTGGTTGGTTAGTTGGTTGGTTGGTTAGTTGGTTGGTTGGTTGGTTGGTTGGTTGGTTAGTTGGTTGGTTGGTTGGTTGGTTGGTTAGTTGGTTGGTTAGTTAAATGGTTGTGTTGGTTGGTTAGTTGGTTGGTTGGTTAGTTGGTTGGTTGGATTAGTTAGTTGGTTGTGTTGTTTGGTTAGTTAGTTGGTTAGTTGGTTGGTTGGTTGGTGTGTTGGTTGGTTGGTTGGTTGGTTGTCTTGGTTGGTTGGTTGATTGGTTGGTTAGTTGGTTGGTTAGTTGGTTGGTTGGTTGGTTGGTTGGTTAGTTTGTTGTGTTGGTTGGTTGGTTAGGTTGTTGGTTGGTTAGTTAGTTGGTTGGTTGTGTTAGTTAGTTAGTTAGTTAGTTAGTTAGTTAGTTAGTTAGTTAGTTAGTTAGTTGGTTAATTATATCTGTAAGATAATATATCTTGTAATATTATTAATAATTAATACTATTTCATTGAAAGATTTTAGTTGTTTGGTTGGTTAGTTGTTTATATCTGTAAGATAATATATCTTGTAATATTATTATTAATAATTAATACTATTTCATTGAAAGATTTTAGTTGGTTGGTTGGTTAGTGGGTTATATCTGCTGCCAGGATTCTGAGCAGAACCAGAAAATATGAACATATCACACCAGTCCTCAGGTCTCTACACTGGCTCCCAGACAGTTACATTTAGGATTGATTTTAAAGTATTATTACTGGTATATAAATAATTTAATGGGCTAGGACCTAGTTAGTTAGGTAGTTAGCATACATGTATTATTGCTTTCTGTCTCTGCAACCATTATTTTCTTAATCTGTATTTTTGTAGTGTTTTCCAGTAAAAATATCGAAACACCCTTAAAACGAGATAAAGGAATCGTTTTTGTCTGGAGTACAGATGCTGCGCAGTGAGGTTAAGATAAGATAAGATAAGAAAAACTTTATTCTCTGTCACAAGTGACAGAAATTTGTCTTTGACAAGACCGGCTCAGATAACATACAAAAACATGGATACACTCAAGACAATTTAGCCACATTTGCTGTACAGACATGTGCAAAATACAAAAATGTGATGTGTTCTGTCTATGGTTGTTCAGTATAGTAATGGCCGTGGGAATAAAAGATTTTTTGTATATCTTTTTCCTTGCAAGTGTGACTGTAGCGTCGACGTGATGACATTCACTGAAAGGATTGATTAAGGGGGTGGGGGGGATCGAGGCTGAAATGGACCAACAGCCTGTGGCTTTGAATTTGAATTTCAGTCACATGAGAGCTTCTCATTCTCAATAATCATATATAACCACGTCACTCCACTTATCATCAGCAATCAAGCCAGAATAATTTCAGGAGAAGCAGTTTTCCAGAAAGGTCCCTATGGAAACAGATGCTCCTGAAGTGAGTCCTCGTCGCCGTCGGGGTCAGAGAGATCACATGGGGAGACAGAGAGAGAGAGAGGCAGAGAGAGAGAGATAGAGAGAGATATAGAGAGATAGTGATGTGATGTTCTGAGACACAATAGTCTCTTTCTCAGTCGCCGGATCACATGCTCTGAGGGATCAGGCTGAAGTGGCTGTGGATGTTACACACTCTCGCTGTGTGTGTGTGGTTAAACAGCAGTGCTGGTGTGTGAGAGGAGTGTGTGGACGTCACACAGGTGCTGCAGGTTTAGTCGCGTCACAAGCCTCGGATCTAAAGAAGTTTTCTTATATCTCTGATAAAGCATAACGATCTACGGTAGGTGGTTTGCAGGAGGGATGGTTTAGCTGACACTTGAGTATTTATTTATTTATTTATTCATGATAAATGCTTTAGTTGACTTTTTATTTATTTATGATTACATTTATAGTTGACTAAATTTATTTATTTGTGATAAATGGTTTAGTTGACTATTTATTTATTCATGAAAAATGGTTTACTTTACTATTATTTATTAGTTTATGAAAATGGTTTAGTTGACTATTATTTATTTATTTGTAATAAATGTTTAGTTTGCTTTATTTTGTTTATTTATTTATGATAAATGGTTTAGTTGACATTTATTTATTCATTCATTCATTTATTTAGTTATTTATGATATATAATTTAGTTTAGACATTTATGTTTATTTATTTATGATAAATGGTTTAGTTAATATTTATTCATTTATGACAAGTCGTTTAGTTGACATTATGTATGTATTTATTTATTTTATTATTTATTTTATCTTGCAAAAAAATATATTTCTAAATCTGTATTTTTCTCATGTTTTTTTCCTAAACATCCTTAAAACCAGTGAAATCTACTGAAGAAGCAAAACTGTACACGATAATATATCTTGTATTAAGTGGGGTTTTTCTTGATTGGATTGAAGACTGAGTGGTGGATTTTCACCTATTTTTTTTTTCCATTTCATCTTGTTTCTGCATGGTTTGGTAAGTGTTTATTTTTCATTATTGTTGCTGTTAAGGCGAGTTTAAGTGCGGAGGGATGCGTCTCCGTGTCCGGCTGATGGGTTCAGGTGTGTGTGTGTGTGTGTGTGTGCGCGCCTCCTCATCATGGGGTAATGGTGGAGGATGTGTTTGTTGCGACAGGGGATGCGGTAGGCCACGAAAGTATGTCTTCTGCCTCTCGTATGAATAAGGCTGTTGTAGGTTTTTTTTTTTTGAAAGCGCAGAATCTTGTCAATCAGATAATTGAAAATTACCTTATTATTAACGACGATTTTAGTGCAAGTCATTCCACTCTATGCGGCTTCTTCTAAAATCACGATTTCCGCCTTTCATAACTAATGAAGCGTTGGAGCGTGCGCTAGTTTGCTGTGGAAAAATTGTTAGTCGTTAGTTAACACGATCCCTCTAGTCTAGTGCAACCACCCGGCTCTAAAACATGTGATGTCGTTCAGGAGACATGTCAACATGGTTTTGGATTCTCCGGTGCGAACGCTGGATATATCTTTTCGTGTTTACCATGAAGGGAAAACATGGTTTACGCAACAACAGGTAACGTTAATATGAAGTGTTTGAATGCGGTGATGTTGGGCATAAACGACATGCGTGCCCACATAAAGAACGCGAAGTTGAAAGTAATGTTTCGGGATCAGAGATTGATGTTAACGTTACTTCTCAAATAGTGCCAACTGACTCCTCCTGAGGTAAGAGTTTCAGAAATGAGTGTAATTGCGTAATTCTAGTGATTTCAGACTATAGGCCTACTTAGTTTATCACCACAGATCTCTAAACGTAATATTTATATATATAATATTCATATGCTAGCTAGCGAGCTAACTGGGATAGCTAGGATTCATTTCCAATCGATCTCACGCATTAAAACTGACTAAAGCAAAGGGAACATCCTTTTTATAAAAAAAAAAAAAAATCAGTTTTAGATTAGGATATATTGCACGTTTCAGTACACAATATATTATAAGTATATACATTAAAAAACGACGATTTACCTTTCATAATCAGGCTTCAGACGATTCTTTGGGTTGACTGTCAATGGACCGTTAAAATTTGAACCGTCGCTGCGGAAACCGTATAACCCAACAGCCGGGTAATTACTAGAAATTACCCAACAATTGTTTAAAAGGACCCAGCATTTTTTAAATAACCCAACATATTGACCCAATATGTGTAACCCAACGGTTGGGTTGAACAAATTTCCCAAAGTTTTTTACTGTATATGTAGCCGGTTCGGGCTCGCGTGTCTCTGCTATTACGACTCGGCTACCCCTCTGCGTTGTGTTGTGTTGTGTGATGAATAAAGACTGGAGTCGAATCGCTGGTTCAGAGGTTCTTTATCTGCATGAGTTGAAAAATGCAGTAATTATTTGTTGCATTCAATGTAGTGTGTTTTTAATCAGCCCTCTCCTCGCTCCGCTCAGACCTCCCGCGGACTGAAGCGAGCTCACATTGTACAATCTCATTTACAGTCATAAAGAATAAAAAGAAAATAGTAATAATTAATATCACATCAGATGTATCAACAATATACAATATATATATATCTATATATATATATATATATATATATATATATATATATATATACATCTCTGAACATACATTGACACTCATCAAACTCATAAAATATACATCTTTAAATCACCCATATTCCAGCATTTTATATAACCAATACGGTTGAACACAAAGAAATCACAAAAACAATTTATAACCATACCTGCATGAGTTGAAAAATGCAGTAATTATTTGTTGCATTCAATGTAGTGTGTTTTTAATCAGCCCTCTCCTGTCAAACATTTGAACATAGAAAAGATATCAGCAGACACGCTTCACAGGCCTACTTTCACACTAACATACTAACAGCGTGATACTGCATTCACTCGGTTAAACTTTCACTTATGCAGGAAAAACAGCTTAACAAGGAAAAATCACATACTTGTACATACTCCTTAACATTTTAACGAAATCAAATCACATTTTATTAGGGATTATTTTCACTTATAACACTCTTTTGAACAGGAGTGCACACATTACATACCTCGCTCCGCTCAGACCTCCCGCGGACTGAAGCGAGAGCGCGCGCAACGCGACAATGACGTCACAACTGCGACGAACGCAAACCTCATAGATATATATATATAAATTAATTCTTTTCTTTTCTTACATATATATCTAACAGAAAAATTTGGATTTTGTGTGAATTTAAAATTAAAACAAGTTATAATTAATACCCGTTACATTCACCCCCTTCTGAATTCACCAAAATCCCAAAGACTCAACCAACTTCACTCATACACTTGACTGAGGTCTCCAAAATGTCTCTACCCATTTCAGCCTGAAATTGCTACCTTCTTAAAAGGTTGAGAGAAATTCAAGGGTGATCAGGCCTTAAAAAACTCCCAGAATAAAATGATGCCTTTTACACCACACCAGGTTTCAAACCATAAATCCAAGTCAAAT